ATTCCCGTGCTCCACGAGCCACGAGCTACGGACAAGAATCACGAAACCGAACCCACGAGCCCCCGGCTGTCAGCCGTGCTGTGCTCCAAGCTGCCACCACCATCAACCGTCCTCCGCCATTCCTGTCTCTGACTCTGACTTGGCCCTGATCCTGCCCATCCCAACTCTCGTCAACTCGAAAACGCCTACCCCGGCACCACCAGTGCTTTTTCGCCTCTGAGGGTTGCGACGCCGCTTCTCTTCTCCCTGACCAACCCCCCCTCTCCTCTCCCTTATGCCTTCCCTCAATCTCTCCGGGCTACTCAAGAAGAAGCGGACACGAGACAACAATCAGGAGCCACAAACCTCGAGCCAGCCCAACAGCCCCGTCACCCCCACCAACGCCGCGCGCAAGTCGAGCTCCATTCCTGTTGCCTCTGTCGTTGCCTCTTCGCCGTCAGCGTCTGCCTCGGCCAATTCGCAGGTGAATCCCCAGCAGCCGCAACAGCAGCCGCAACAGCAGCAGCATCAATTGGCGCCTTCTTCTGAGGCCGACAACCTGTCGCCGGGCATGTATCCCGTATCTGTTCACCCGGCAAATCACCAAAACAGCCCTCACGCGGCTCTTCACCACAACCCTCTGCAATCCGACTCGCAAAAAAGCCTACCGAGTATCAGTAACCTCATCAACCCCCCTCAACAGCATGACGGTTCGAATCAGCAGTCCAACACATTCCTAACCCAACCTGCATCTCACATTCAACCCTCGGCCAGTCCTGGCACCGACCCCGAACGCCTACAACAGCAACAAGCCCAATCCATGATGCATCCCCCACAACAGCAACTACACAACCACCAGCATCAATTGCAACAACATGGCCAAGACCAAGGCCAGGCTCGCCAGACCAAGGGCAAATACACCCTCACTGATTTCGACTTGCTACGCACCCTCGGCACCGGCAGCTTCGGCCGTGTACACCTTGTCCAGTCTAAACACAACCAACGCTTCTACGCCGTCAAGGTTCTCAAGAAGGCGCAGGTCGTCAAGATGAAGCAGGTCGAGCACACGAACGATGAGCGGCGCATGCTCGGCGAGGTCAAGCATCCATTCCTGATAACCCTGTGGGGCACTTTCCAGGACTCCAAGAACTTATACATGGTCATGGACTTTGTCGAGGGCGGCGAGCTGTTCTCGTTGCTTCGCAAATCCGGTGTAAGTAACTAGAGATGCCCGGCCGGGGTCGGACGTCCCAGCTTGACTGACACGTAATTGTATAGCGATTCCCGAACCCTGTCGCCAAATTTTATGCCGCCGAGGTCACGCTCGCGCTGGAATACATGCACGAGAAGGACATAATCTACCGAGATCTGAAGCCAGAGAACCTCTTGCTTGATCGACACGGCCACCTCAAGATTACTGATTTTGGATTCGCGAAGAAGGTACCGGACAAGACATGGACGCTTTGCGGCACACCTGACTACCTGGCGCCCGAGGTCGTATCGAACAAGGGCTACAACAAGTCCGTGGACTGGTAGGTGGCCTCATTCCTCGCGTCCCGCAATGCAAGCGAGCAGGGCAGGCTAACGTGCGAAAAAAAGGTGGTCACTAGGTATCCTCGTCTACGAAATGCTGTGCGGCTACACGCCCTTTTGGGACAGCGGGTCGCCGATGAAGATCTACGAAAACATCCTGCGCGGCAAGGTCAAGTACCCGCAGTACATGGACCCTAGCGCGCGGACCTCTTGGAGAAGCTGATCACGGCGGATTTGACGAGCGTCTGG